TATGTAATTAGATAAGTAACCTAGATCTACAGTATTTTCAACTAGACATGTTCAATATGTAATTAGATAAGTAACCTAGATCTACAGTATTTTCAACTAGACATGTTCTTTATGTTATTAGATAAGTAACCTAGATCTACAGTATTTTCAACTAGACATGTTCATTATGTAACTACAAAAGTAATGTTTAAATTGAACTAAGCATATTTATTTTGTAATTGAGCAAACAGTTTATCATTTGAATTTCATTGAGTTCCGTGTACTTTTCTTGAAGCATGTAGGGAACCTTTCTCAGTTGTTAGGTTTAGTAGGATCTGCTTTTACAAATATCAGTAGTTTGTGCTTTGGTTTTCTTTTATGATTTATCTAATATAGTATTGTCAAAAAAGTTGTGTTATTAAAGGCTTTCCTTTCCATTAAAGTCATTATTAAATTGTTTAACTTTGTTGTTCATATATAAATATTCCTAAACAAATAAACTACATTAAAAGTTGTATTTTTCATTAATGTGTCCAAATTGAACGAGGTTTGTGTTTTGATTTCAGCCAAAGAAGATAGTATTTTCAACCTAGTAGCAACAAATACCAGAACTTTGCTAGTGTATGAAGACATGACCTTACGTTGGGCTGCCCAAGTACCATTTGTACCAGTTTGTATCCAACGGGCAAATTTTATGTAAGTGCACAACAATTAGAATAATAGTTTTTTTAATTAACAGTGTAAACTTGTTGCATAGCATAGAATGGATCTTGTTAATGTGTGTTAATAGAATATCTGACTGTGTGACTTGTAGTGTTGTGTGAAATAAATCAGCACTATAAATGTAAATTGTGTAAACTTGTTGCATAGCATAGAATGGATCTTGTTGATGTTAATGTGTGTTAATAGAATATCTGACTGTGTGTCTTGTAGTATTGTGTGAAATAAATCAACACTATAAATGTAAATAGTGTAAACTTGTTGCATAGCATAGAATGGATCTTGTTGATGTTAATGTGTGTTAATAGAATATCTGACTGTGTGTCTTGTAGTGTTGTGTGAAATAAATCAACACTATAAATGTAAATAGTGTAAACTTGTTGCATAGCATAGAATGGATCTTGTTAATGTGTGTTAATAGAATATCTGACTGTGTGACTTAGAGGGGTGTAAAATGTATTATTTTATGCTAAAAGTTTTCTCTGAAGATTTCAATAAGATGTGAATTTCAAAGTTTGCTGTTTATATAAATAGTTAGTTATATGTTTTTCCTTCATGGTTGTTATTCTGTCAGGGCTTGGAAATTTTTTGTGTTGTATAAAATATATTGTGATAATAATGTCCTGTATTTCTCCTCAGAGTCTATAAGGGGAAAAGGGGGGTGTTCATGTTTGGTGAGCTTCTGTATTGTATAAAATAGATCACGATGTTAATGCTAAACTTCTCTTCAGAGATCTCAAAGGGGTGGTGGTTATTCTGTCCGAGTCTGGAGACTTATTATGTTGTTACCTCGGCACTGATCCTTCATTCTTTGTTGCTCCATCGCCCGAATCTCGAGAAATTGACTTTGAAGAAGCTGAACAAGAAATGCAGGAACTAAAGAAGATTATTAAAAATTCTAGTCAAAGTAAGTTTCCCAGAAAACAGTCAGAACATTTTATATTAACACAATTAAACCTTCACTAAACAGATATTCCGAATTAGAGATGAGTAACCTGTGGCTACCATTGGTTGAATCTGCAGGAACTATCTCCTCCAATCAGAAACAGAGATAAACTAACCAATCATAACACGCTCTCCTGAAGACGAAAGGAGGAAGACTTTTAAAACGTCGTCCTCTACACCTCGTGTCTCTACAACAGGCAGTTGCCATCCATTCTACAAAGTTTCATCATGAATACTCTGCCTAAACAATCTATCAAAGAATGTTAACTTACTCAGTTGTACAACTGCTGATGTTATAGAGTTAACTAAAGTCTATCAGCTTTCAGGGCTAGATATAATCTAAAATACAAGAAACTATGTTAACATACATATAAGGTGTTAATTATTTGGAGTACATGAAATTGTGTTAACTATCTTATGATTACATAAAAAATATTTTAACTGGTACACGTGTCCTAACTTAGTCTCAAGTTGTGTTTGGTTTGTTCCTTTACAATGTACATCAATCTTTGGTGCACTTAGAATTCACAAGTAAATTATTGGTTGAGTCATTCATTCAGTATGAAGTGATGTTTTGGATAAGAAATAATACATCTGTTTTATTGTGTTCTGTTTGTACAGATTTCCCTGGAAATACACGGTTAGAACAGGAGCTCACCGTACACATTTCTGTAGCTTCTCAGGTGGACATTGTTGTAAGTTCTTTAACTCTGTCCATACCCTTTTCTGTGTATGTCATGTGGTTTTACCGAGTTCCATTTCAAATTTAATTCAACTGCTTTATATCATAATATATATGAATAAATTTCGCTTCAAACATAGCTAATAAATTAAATTTTAATATTATATAAATTTTGAGTTCTTTATTTCGTACAAAAATATTTTTTTAAATCCTCAATTTCCCCTAGTATGAGAATTGTGAAATTTGTTCTCTAGGTATTTCGTCTTCTCTAATTTATTTACCACCTCTCCAAGAAGTACAGAATTTAACATAAATATTGTTATTACTCAGGCAAAGCATAATTTTTATAACCTTCAATCTCATGTGGTTACAGAGCTATAAACTAGAAAATCAGACCTCTCTTGCCATGTGCACCTGTCACATCCTCTCTTTCACAGATCGCCAGAAGTTCTCTTTAATATTTAACACTATATTATTTATAACCAATAGTTTTAATATATCAGGATTTTAATTTTACTTTGAGATAACTTAGGTCTAATCAGTCAGTTAGTAATGTGATAACATGGTAACTACATGGGTATCAACATTACCATGTGTAGGTTAGGGTTAAAGTAGGATGTTTAAAATGGGTATGTGAAACAGAATAACCATGTGTAGGTTAGGGTTAAAGTAGGAACTCATTAAGCTAGTTAAGGTATGACAGATATAGACTGTTTGAGATGCTGTTTATGTAATGGAACTACTTCAGCAACAACTGTCATGGTGTGAATTAGATTAATACAGACTGTTTGAGATGCTGTTTATGTAATGGAACTACTTCAGCAACAACTGTCATGGTGTGAATTAGATTAATATAGACTGTTTGAGATGCTGTTTATGTAATGAAACTACTTCAACAACAACTGTCATGATGTGAATTAGATTAATATAGACTGGTTGAGATGCTGTTTATGTAATGGAACTATTTCAACAACAATTCACACCATGACAGTTCAGTCTATATTAATCTTTCCATTACATAAACAGCATCTCAAAAAATAGTTCCATTACATAAACAGCATCTCAACCAGTCTATATTAATCTAATTCACACCATGACAGTTGTTGAAATAGTTCCATTACATAAACAGCATCTCAACCAGTGTATATTAATCTAATTCACACCATGACAGTTGTTGTTGAAGTAGTTCCATTACATAAATAGCATCTCAAAAAGTCTATATTAATCTAATTCACACCATGACAGTTGTTGTTGAAGTAGTTCCATTACATAAACAGCATCTCAACCAGTCTATATTAATCTAATTCACACCATGACAGTTGTTGTTGAAGTAAAATTCACACCATGACAGTTGTTGTTGGAAGTAATTCCATTACATAAACAGCATCTCAAACAGTCTATATTAATCTAACAACAATTCACACCATGACAGTTAGATAAATATACACTGGTTGAGATGCTGTTTATGTAATGGAACTACTTCAGCAACAACTGTCATGGTGTGAATTAGATCAAGTTGGTATAGTTATAGAAAAGTTTAGTAGTAAATCGATTATAAAGCATTTATACAGATATATTAAACTGTCATAATAGAATGTCAACATGCTAGTTGTCCTAAGTATATTGGAATAGGAACCCAAGAAACATAACAATGTTTTCTTTTAATGTTGTAGCCAGTGGATGAAAATTATGAATCAGATGAACAAGAAAATGCACCAGTAGTAACTGTCAAGGTATGATGTTAAATTGTTTTTATGTCAGTTACTAGTATTGATTAAAAAGAAACGTTTTTCCCTGCTCTAAGCTATGTTATGATTTGATTAACAGTGGTAAGTAATTTGGTTCTGTAAACGGTAAACAAACATTACTCTTTGTTAAACGTATCCACATGTTGGAAAACGTTGTGTATGTTAACAATGCTTGTTCTGTATGACCAGTTGCTGATGTGTGTGTAAATATAGCTAGTTTTCTGTGGTCAGTGACTAATGTGAATAAATATAGCTAGTTATCTGTGGTCAGTTACTGATGTGAGTAAATAAAGTGTATATAAATACTGCTAGTTCTCTGTGGTCAATTACTGATGTGTAGTAAATAAAGCTAGTCCTCTGTGGTCAATTACTGATGTGTAGTAAATACTGTTAGTCCTCTGTGTTCAGTTACTGATGTGTATATAAATACTGCTAGTCCTTTGTGGTCAGTTACTGATGTGTATATAAATACTGCTAGTCTTCTGTGGTCAGTTACTGATGTGAGTAAATAAAGCTAGTTTTCTGTGGTCAGTGACTGATGTGTAGTAAATACTGTTAGTTCTCTGTGGTCAGTCACTGATGTGTAGTAAATAGTGCTAGTTATCTGTGGTCAGTGACTAATGTGTAGTAAATAGTGCTAGTTATCTGTGGTCAGTTACTGATGTGTAGTAAATACTGCTAGTCCTCTGTGGTGAGTTACTGATGTGTATGTATATACTGCTAGTCCTCAGTAGTCAGTGACTAATGTGTATATAAATACTGCTAGTCTTCTGTGGTCAGTTACTGATGTATAGTAAATACTGCTATTCCTATGTGGTCAGTTACTGATGTTTGTGTGAGTAAACTCAACTATTTCTCTGTGGTTAGTGAATGATATGTGTGTAAACTCAACTATTTCTCTGTGGTCAATGATTAATAGATGAGAATGTAGTGATAACGAAACTGTTCTAAAACTATGGTTTACTATGAGAACAGTTGTTCACAGATAACGTTGAAATGAATGCAGTTTTATAAGAAATATGCAGTTGATATTGGAATAATAACCAGTTTGCAGATAGATTAAGTTAATTATTTTTTAGATTAATTTTTTTGTTGATTTTTTCTTGACATTGTGCCAAAGTTTTTTGAGAGTTATTCAGTATTTAATTTTCCAGAACTTGAGTGTGTAAAATGTTTAACTTAGGTGCAGATAAAGACAACAACAACAGTCAGAGATGTGAGACTTATGTTTGATGTTCAGAGACCTCTGGTTGTGTCACAGAAAGTCTTCAGTTTTGGATCGATATCAGAATTCTTTCAAGCCATGGTTTCAGTAAGAATGAACGATTCCCATATACCCGTGAGCTTGAAGTTAAGAGTTTTGGTTGCATACATTAATAGTGGAGGTGAGGAATTACTCCTTAGATATGTTTATTGATTTCAAAAAACATTTTTCACTTGTCTTAAAATGATTTTTGTAAAATATAAAAGAACTTTGTTGTTACTAGTACCTCTACAAGAAAACAAACTTGTTCTTAAAAGTACTTGATGTAGTCTTTTTTTTCTTGGTGCTATTTTTTAATCATCACTCTTAGATTCAAACTTATTTACATTAGCTGTTTCAGAGGCTAATAAAATAACACGTCAGTTATATCTGCAGGAGCTCCTAGAATTACTGAAAGTTCTGCAGATCTTCCTCTCCGATTGGTTGTTAAGCCTTGTCCACCAGAGAAGAATGCCACTCACAAGTTAACGATTGACACTAACAAACCAGCGGTTGCCATCAATGACTTGTTTCCAGGTGAACGTTCAGTTTTGTATCTCTCAGGTTGTGAGAAGTTGAGCTTGTTGTTTGATTAACTGTGAAATGTTTTTGTACTGTTAGTTTTTAATTGAATGGATAGGATTTTGATCTCTCTATAGTTATGTTTGTATTATGTCTAAATAAAATAATGTAACTTGTATTTTGAAAAAGCAGAAAAAAATATATTTTGTGCTCTGTCTGTATCTTTGTTACATGTTATGGGTGATTCTTCGACCAATACCATTAATGCTCTGTCTGTATCTTTGTTACATGTTATGGGTGATTCTTCAACCAATACCATTAATGCTCTGTCATAACATCTAACAAAGATACAGACAGAGCATTAACTGGTATTGGTCGAAGAATCACCCAAAATAATGCTCTGTCTGTATCTTTGTTAGATGTCATGGGTGATTCTTCGACCAGTACCAGTAATGCCATGGGATTTGAATTTCTTGGAGGTCAGCAAGTCACAGTACTTGCTTCAAAAACTTCTCGTAAGTATAATATCATATGTTAGTTAGTTAGTTATCTTTGTGTCCAGTTGGCTGATTTATAGCAGTCCATGCATTTTTTTTATTATTATTATTAAATATTGTCTTGTCCAGATGGCTAGTTTTATTGAATAACTTCATGTCCATATGACTTGTTTATAAGAGTTCTTTGTTTATTTGGTTCGTAACAGTCCATGTATAGTTTTTGTTATTAAATATCTACATATTCGTATGGTCCATATGCTTTTTGTTTGGTAATAAATCTTGCCAAGATGACTTGTGTATAACAATTTACTTTCTTTTATAATGTAGCACAGTTTTCAAAGATTAATTTTGAATATGTGTTGAACATTTTGTGAGATGACCAAAACGGTTTATCATTGCTCATAGTATTTTGTTTTTAGAATGTATAGAAAAGTATTAATGGTTCGATGTTTTTTGTTTAGTCGTTAAATTAAGAAGTACATGTTTTTCAGAGCGTTATAGATTACAAAGTGACAGCTTTCCTGCTCTGTGGCTGTTAATCTCCGAGTTAATGAAACGGCTGCACAGACACTTCAAACATGGTAGCGGGGGCGATGTTAAGTTATCATATTCTTCAAACATTCCACTGCAAGAGTATTTTGAAGTTATAAAAGAACACTTGGAGGTAAAATTTTTAGTGTTGTATATTTATCAGAATTCAATGGTTTATCTCTTATCATGTTTATGATATTCACAGACTAACTATGAATTCAATGTTTGATATTTTAGTTCCATGATATTAGGATTTTACATTTATTCATATTGGTTTTCTTAAATTTAACTTACCTGAAAACTATTTTTGTCTGCAAAGAAAAATGTAACATAAAAAAAAAAGTTAATTTTTCAGATAGGCCTAGATATTACTTTAGGAAGTGGTAACATTTAAGCCTAATTATTGAAAACTAGTTCTAAATTACTGGTCCCAACACACAATAATGAGTTTTTTGTAACTGTTTATTAACTTAAGCCTGATTCAATTTTTTTAATATTTGTTAAACTGTGCCTCACTTTTTTTCTTTTCTCAGTGTCGACATTCGTTGCAGAAGTCACAAGAACTATTAGGTCAACAAGCAGCTCAGTATCGGGCTGTCCAGAAACGACTACTCACGAAACTGAAGGATAAAACACCCACACCTTTAAATAACATTGATTCTCTTCTAGAAGCTACTCACAGACAGGTAAACAGAAACAATCATCTAGTTTACAGATTCTTTTCAATTTTGACATTTTGATAAATGTTTATATTTTCATAAATCACAGTCTAGTGGACTCAGAATATGATCGAACATTGAATAGTTTAGGTTATCAGGAAGTAGGCGTGTAGATTATTTTGTTCTGTAGATTGATTTTATATATATATCACAGAGTAGTGGGTCTACATGGGTTAACACAGCAGTGGGTCTATATAAGCTGTGTTTAATATCAAAATTATATATCATCATCTTTAGTTTACATGAACAAATGCAGTTGGAGATAATAACTTTAGCAGCTGGATATAGCTGTATATGTAGTGGTTCATACAACAACACTAATTGTAGCAGCTAGAAATAATTGTTTATCTAGTACCATTTTATACAGGAGATGCTGTGATTGGCTAAGTCTGTGATAGTGTTTTGTAACAGATGCTGTGATTGGCTAAGTCTGTGATAGTGTTTTCTTAACTTATGTTGTGATTAGTTAAGTTAGTAGTGGTGTGTTTTGTGACAGATGCTGTAATTGGATATGTCTGTAATAGTGTTTTTGTAACATGCTGTGATTAGCTAAGTCAGTAATGTTTTTTTTTTTTTACAGATACTGTCGTTGACTGAGACAGCGGAGGATAACCTGCGGTCTCTTGAAGCGTCAAGCTGTAGCCTTAGCTGTAGCACTTTTCTAGTCCTGACACTGCTCCGACTTAGCATTCATATGTCTGATGAAGAGTTCAGTGTCCTCCAGGCTGCCCTGACCCCTAACGTTCATGCTGACTGTGATGAGGTAAGATTAAGCATTCTTTACTTAAATCAAGTGTGTGTGGTATTTATGTTAATAAAGTTTGAATGTATAAAATTAGGTTTCGTTTGAATTATTGATGATTGGTTTTTATAAAAAGGCTCATTTCTTTCTAGGATCTGGTGATCAATCAAATCTATTAATCCATTAACACTTTAGTTTCCTGGCAGGTGATTCTATTTTCTCAAACAGAAATCTTTAGAAGTCTTCAATTACAAAACACCACATCAGATCGGAGACTTTGATACAGTTTCACATGCTCAGACATTACAAACTTCAGATGGTTACATAAGAGATTAGACACTATGTTATGATTCCACATGTTGAGACATTACAAACTTCAGATGATTACATAAGATTGGAGACTGTTATGATTCCACATGTTGAGACATTACAAACTTCAGATGGTTACATAAGATTAGACGCTATGTTATAATTAAGTTTGTAATGTCTCAACATGTGGCAGATGGTTACATAAGAGATTA